TACTTTATATTCAATAACTCTTTTATTATTATATTATGGACAAACCAAATGTTTGAGCTTTATAAATGTTTTATTATATAACACATATGTTATTATTCAGATTTTATGCAAATGAAAGAGCAGTATGAAAAATGTGCTGGTATTTTAATGCAATTCTAAATTATTTTTATAAAAATGGCTTGCCAAGCTGACAACTGTTTTATTTGTTTGTTCTTTTTTTCAGTTTCTTAATGTCGTCCCCATGTAATTGTCTGCTTCTAAGGCTTTAGAAACAGACGTTTTCTTTTAGCCTCATTGTTTGATCTTGCCGCCATGTTGCCGTCTTTTCGCTTTACTGGTCGTTACCAGGTTACAAAAAAAAAAACGTGCTCATCGTTACTGGCCGATAGATAACATTCCTGTCTACTGTCCCGAGTGTCTTTCACGCTGGCCTCGGGATGTTGAGCCCTGGAAACACTGATTTATTTACAATTTACAAGACATCTTTGGCTATTTTATTCTGCTGGAGATACTGTGGTTCTAAAAAAACAAAAGAAAACGTAAATAAAAAATCTTACACATACCTTAGGAACGCTAATACAGAAAACGTGTGCGGTTTTAAAACCCTGACATTCCCAAACCGCCGTATAAACGGTTATCGTCCCATGCCTAAAAATAACTACAACGTAAAAGCATGCATGTAGGTACACCGACCCTTTCTTTTATAGTTGGGGAAACTTACAAATATATAACTTTACAATCGTATTTGCTGAAATAATGACAGAAAAACTCCATGATGGTGTTATCAAGACTTTCAGAAAAATAATGTAAATAGTGCGAGACTGATAACCGCATCCAGAGGAGAGAATAACGTCAAATTTGCTGTCCCTATAGGCGAAACACCTCGAACAAGTCATTTGAAGCAAGGATAATATAACACACACACATAAACACATGTAAACGTTCATACGTTTTGCTTTAAATCTAAATATTAAAAACTTTTACGGATTTACGATGCTGATGCTCATTAAACGCATCACAACAGGCTCCATTAAGTACACAGTAATCAAAACCACTGACTATAGTCAGCCAGACCTAAAACAGTTATTCTGCTTGCATTAGTAAACACCATCCCATGCATTTTCGCATATCATAGCACCTCTCCCACAGCATTCACTCCACTCTTAGTCCGTGAAATGACAATGCAAGAGCAGCGACAGACGCTATTAATGAGGAGACACATAATAAGGAGTGTGTTTTGAGGCCTACTGAGGTTTGTGTGTGTGTGTGGTGATGCTGACTAGTGCTTTCTCCTCCCTTCCCCCTCTCCAGAATGGCCATGAATGAGCCCTCCCCCCCCCAGCCAGAAACTCTGCAGACTTTTGCTCCATGTTAAGAAGAAAAACCAACACCCCTTCGGCACAAAATGGAAGCTTCCACTATCAAACTGAGAGGTGCACCCAAAACAGAACGAGAAGCTTTACAAACAGGGGCTGTAGCACGTCTTGGCAGTGTTGAGATGCTGCCGCTGTCCGAGGTGCTGAACGCGGGGTTACATTACCGAACACTCGGTCTGACTGCTAGATTTAGGGATTTGGCGGTCGTAAATGATAAAAGGCAGACATGATTGAAGCACGTTAAACGTGAACGCTATTGATGACCTTGCTTTTGAGTCGGGATTTATAAAAAAAAAAAAAGGGGAAAGTGAACTGATGGGATCGAATCAAATTCGACCACGTCGTCATGTGACCAAGAAATATAACCTCTCAGGAAGATAAAGTGTACACTGAGGTAAAACAACCGTGTTTTAACGCAACATGTCTGAGAAAGTGAGCAAGTTTGCTTCGCAAACTCTCCGGAAACATGTCGACCCGTTAAAAATGGAGGCGTAGCAGTTTACAACACAACACAATTAGGGAATTCAGCTGTTGTAGTTTATCGTATATTCACTCCACCCTGCTCATTTAGTGTTGTTTTACGACACATGTCGTATGTATTTCACAAAGGAGAGTACTTGTTTTCCACTTACCACTGTTAATCAGTGTTGTTGACCCTTAAGTCCTTTATAAACAAACTCCTCAGACTCCCACACAGTAAACCGAGGACGACATGTTCACAACTTGCGTTGTATTCGCCAAAGTCGCGTAAAGGACAAAGCACAGCGAACTATTGAAAGTTTCTCTCCCGCGGCAAATGTAGCCACCCTCGAGGCTTCAAGCAAAAGGCGAATTACCTGTGTGTGCTGCCTCATCGGTGCAACTAGTTCCTAAATGAAGTGAAACGCCGACAAACGCGTTCGGTTTAAAGTGTTTCAAGTTAGGATGTGAGGGAGGAACAAAGCGGCGAGAGCGGCGACTCCGCTCCAGCCTCATAAATATTCAGGTCTCGTCCCGAACGCTACACAAAACCGCCGCATTATGAGTGCAAATCGCGAAAACGCGCCGCTCGCGTCAAAGTGCATCAAAGAGCGTTTAAACAACCTCCGCTCAAAGTGATTATGGCGTCATGAAGCGAGCGTTAGCGTTTAAACGCCACCAATTACAACCGAATACGTTGTACGACCTCCGACTTCGAGTGTGTGTGTGTGTATGAAAGAATCCAGGAAAGCTTGAACAAAATGGCTTTTTTATTTACCTGATGACATTGGACTTCTACTTTCAGTGCTTCTTGAAGGCCTTGTAGCTCCATATTCCGACTTCAAGAGCACTTTTCCTCCACTTCCGACGCGATGCGCGTTATTTGTGGCGTGAGGGAAGTGTTTTGAAAAGCGACAATAACAATCGCCAGAACTACTCGGGCTGCACAGCAAGTTCTCGCTTCTTTGCTGGCCGTCAGACTCATCACCCACTTTACGCCAGTGTAAACAAAAAGTGCTCCGCACGCGAGCCAAACGCTCCAGCAGCCGCGTAGATCCGCTCCGAAATCCACACGGGGGTAGTCCGCTTGTCCTGTCGGAAACGCGACGCTCGATTTTCCCCAGACTTCGAGTTGAAAGTGCGGGACTATATTTTGTCCGAGTGCGCGGCTGGATTTCACTTTGCCTGAGGAAAAAGTTGTGCTCCGGTTGTCAATGCTAATTCTGGAAGTTCCCGGATGGAGCAGCGAAAGAAGAAACTCTCCCTTCCTCCGTCGCGGGAACGCGCTCTCTCTCGGTGATGGAGTCGTGCGCGCTCCCGCACTAAAACTCTCCACAAAATGAAGTTCAGCGCAGAGGGGCACGTTTCAGAGATAGGAAATTACTGGCCGAACATTTGCTCCTGCTTTTATTACATGAATTCAGAGTATGCTATTGAAGTGATTGCTAACCACTTTATTTATTTATTTATTTATTTATTTATTTATTTATTTATTTATTTATTTATTTATTTATTTTATTTATTTATTTAATTATTTATTATTATTTTATTTATTTATTTATTTATTTATTTAATTTATTTTATTTATGTATTTATTAATTAATTAATTTATTTATTTATTGGGCTTAATACATTTCATAAATCATAAATAGTCCTACTTTATATTCAATAACTCTTTTATTATTATATTATGGACAAACCAAATGTTTGAGCTTTATAAATGTTTTATTATATAACACATATGTTATTATTATATGTAACATGAATTCAGAGTATGCAAATATCTATACTTTTAAATTAAAAAAATAACAATTATTTTCTCTATATATATATATATATATATATATA